TCTCTGAAGTTGTAGCTTGATATCTTAACACTTCTGGAAGATTCTTAACCTATTAATTTCTCTTCTATCCTGTTGTCTTTCCTTCCTAGAACTTGTATAATGTCTCTGTTGTGTCCTGAAGTATCTTTATTTCAATATTTTCTCTCCTAAGCCTCTTGCCATTCTTTGGGGGTTTTTCTTACAAGCTTCCTTCCAGGTCTGTTATCAGTTCTGTCTCCAGTTCTGTCTTCAACTGTGTCTCATCTACTTTGCCAGTCTAGTTTGATATCAGTTCTTTGTTTCTGTACTGGAGTCAGGATTTGAGTCATACACCCCAGCTTTGATGTAGTTTATTTTTATTTCTAAAAGTTTGGTTCTTTTCCAAATGTTGCTATATCATGTTTATTAAATTGGTGTCCCTTTTGCAGATAATGTTCTTTCTGCCTGCTCTTTCTGCTATTCTTCCTTCCGAAGATTTAGGTTAGGAATTTGTGCATGCTAGACAGGCCCTTTACCACTGAGCTATGCCTCCTAGACACTGTATTTTCAGGCTTAGAAAGCCTGAGAATTTTTTTTTTTGATCTTTCTTTGTCTTTAGTTTGTTTATAGTCTTTTTGACAATAAATGAGTCTGTGTAGGACTAATTTCTACTGTATTTTCTTTGCCTCTTGATGTCTTTGACAATTGTTTGGATGAGTTATTTGAGGTTTAGGGTGAAGAAAATGCCTTTCATTTACAGTTAGATGTTCATGTATTTCCAAACATACTAGCAGAGGCACCTGAAGCCATAGCTCTAGGCCAGGGATGGGGCAACACAGATGAGATGAATTTGGAATGGCTGTCCAGAAGAACTGGTTTATTGTTTCTGAGGATATAAAAACAAAAGTTTGTACGTATTAATGGAGTATGCTCCTTTGAGTTCAGTCCAATGAGATACTCTCTCCTCCACCTTTTGTAGATGATGAAACAGGGTCAGAGAAGTCTGCCTGCTTTGAAAGAATGTAATAAGCAAGAGATCTAATTTAGCCAGAAGTAGAAGATTGAATGAAGTAGGCATCTTTGTGTTGTTCTGCTTTGTCTTGATTTTTTTGAGATATGTTTCACAGTGTATCTCTCCTGAATGCTAATATTACATATATGTAACACTATGTTGAGCATTGTCTTGGATCTTACAAGGAGAAGAAATTTTATTTTAAGTCTAAGGGTTTGAAACAGACGTTGGGGTTATGATAGGTAGTCCATTTATAAACATGTTAAAATGGCACAAAAGTTTGAATTTGGAAGCTTGGAGATACTTTTCTTTTGTATTTTTTACCATTGCTGAATACTAGATAGTTAAGTATTGAATAAACCAGCAAATTCCAAAATGTTACTGAATTAGGTAATAAGTAAGTTTCTGTGTATTAGAAAGCCATATAATGCAAAATGAAAAATATGTTCTCATTTCTTCTCAGTGTTATGATTTTAGCTCATCTTTCTAGGACTGTGGTGTCAGTGGTAATGTATGTGCTTAGCATGTACAAGGCCCTGGAAACACCAGCATGAAAAAATAATGTTTATGATTTTAGTTATAAGAAAGTGTGTGTGTACACATATATAAAAGTATGTATATAACATTACATGCCTCACAGTGTTCTTTACCTGTCAGCTCTGGAAGCTACTTTTTTCCCCTTGGTGCTACTGGAATTTGAACTCTACCTTGCACTTGCTAGGTGGGAACTGTACTGCTGAGCCATACCTGTAGTCCTTTCTTGCACTGGCTATATTTGAAATAGAATTGCTCCCTTCCCTGGTATGCTGCTGAAGTGAGCCAATGATTTATGCTTACCATAAAGCTAAGATAACATGCATGCCACAGTTCCCAGCTGTTGTTATAAAAGGATCTTGTGAACTTTCTCTAGTCTCATCATACAGGCATGAACAATCGGTATGGCCTAAGAGCTGCTTTATTTTTTGACTGCAGAACAATCTGTTGTATGCATATGCCATAGTATGTGGACTACTGTGAAGAATACAGTACAGTGATTGGCAAAAGTAGATGCAGTCCTGTTATATCATGAATCTTGTAGACTGTTCAGTTGGGATACACTTTAGGTTGCACAAAATGATCATATAATGGAGTTACCTTTGATGGAAGGAGAGAACTTCATAGTGTATACAGTTAGATAATTAGCCAGAATGTGCAGAATGCTAAAGAGTAAAACATTGAACTGAGAGCCAAAGAATAAGTAGAGCTTGTTCACCAGAGTATCTTTTAGGTGAACATGGAAAAGCAAATGCTTTAAATACTTTAGGTCTCATTTGTTAAAGTCTAATCAAAGGTTTACTTCTTGATCTTGCAAAGTCTTAATATGATATTGGTCCTTTTTTAAAACAATTTTTGTTTAGTGTATATTATATACAAACTGAGTTTCATTATGGCATTTCCATACACATAAAATACACTTTGATCATATTTAGCCCTTCCCTTTTGGAATTTTCATTTTTTTTTTTTTTTGTCGGTCATGGGGCTTGAACTCTGGGCCTGGGCACTGTCCCTCAGCTCTTCAGCTCAAGGCGAGCGCTCTACCACTTGAGCCACAGCGCCACTTCCGGTTTTCTAGTGGTTTATTGGAGATAGGAGTCTCACGGTCTTTCCTGCCCGGGCTGGCTTTGAACCGCGATCCTCAGATCTCAGCCTCTTGAATAGCTAGGATTACAGGCGTGAGCCACCGGCGCCCGGCTTTGGAATTTTCATTTTTTTTATTGTGAAAATGCCATACAGAGGGGTAACAATTACATGGGCAAGGTAATAAGTACATTTCTTATCAAGCATTGTTGCCTCCTCCTTTGTTTCCCTTTACCATCCCTTCCCATCTCTCTCCCTCCCCCTTTCCCGAATTTTCATTTTTTTAATGGAATTTTTCTTTTTTCTATTGGGACAGGATCTTGCTTAGCCCAGGCTGACCTCAAACTGACCATCTTCCCGTCTTAGCCTCTTGGGTACTAAGATAATAAGTATTTACCACCATACTCAGCAAGAGACAAGTTTTGTTTGTTTTTTCTGTGTATAGTGTTGGGGATCCAACCCAAAGGCCTCATATTTGGGCTATATCCCTAAGCTGTGTGGACCTGTCTTACAAGTGATTACAAGGATTTGTAGGCTTGACAGTCTTTGGCCAGGTTACTTTCCCGAAAAGTTGCAGTTAAACAACATTAGCCAGATTAAGAATGCATATTCAGTTTTTCCTGCATTGGTAGGAAGTCCTTGATGATTTGATATATAAACTTATCCACCTTGGATACATTCCTTTGGAGACTTTTTTAGATAGTTTGCTGAACATTTTGTAAATGCTGTCTAGTTGTCTAGTATTTGTAGAGTAACCAGTATTGCTAGAATTATCTGAAGCAAATGGAAAATACTTCAAGAGAAGAATATACATTAGAAGAAATAATTCTTTTGTAGTCTAAAACATTACTAAAATCATCATCTCAATTCTAGGGCTAGCTATCATCCGTTTTTCTATCTGAATATAATACAGTTCATCTTACATTTCTTGTTTTCTCTCTTTTTGGGGCTGTGCTTTGTTTTGTTTAGGTTTTATGAGATGTAGGATTCCTGGGACTTACTATGTAGCCTAGGTTAATCTTAAACGTTTAATGCTTTTGTCTTAGCCTTCTGAGTGCTGGGGTGATAGGTTTATTTAATTTATTTTCTAAGAGCAATATTGTCACAATTTTTAGTGGGAAGGAATTTAGGACTTGTTCTGATGGATTCTCATAGTAAATTTATTTAGACCTGGCAATCAAATATTGACAATGTATGTGAATTCCCCCCCCTCCCCCCCCCCCCCCCCCCCCCCAGTTCTGGGGCTTAGACTCAGGGCTGAGGCGCTGTCCCTGAGTTTCTTTTGCTCAAGGCTAGCACTCTACCACTTGAGCCACAGTGCAACTTCAGCTTATTCTATTTATGTGGTACTGAGGAATTGAACCCAGGGCTTCATGCATGCTAGGCAAGCACTCTACCGCTAAGCCATAGCTCCAGCCATATAGCCAGAGGAAGCTAAGGGCTCAGTGATAGGACATGAGGAAGAAAGGATAGGCTTACTTGAGATATCCTAGGCTTTATTAATTACAAATATTATGAGCCTCTTATTTTTAAAGACCTCTGGGGAAGTGCTGTGTGGCTCAAAGTTGTAGAGTGCTAGTTATGTAGAGTGCTTGCCTACTAGCATGCATGAAGTTCTGGGTTCGATTCCTCGATACCACATAAGCAGAAAAAGCTAGAAGTGGCACTGTGGCTCAAGTGGTAGAGTGGTATCCTTGAGCAAAAGAGAAGCTTAGGGACAGTGCCTGGACCCTGAGCTCAAGCCCCAGGACTGGCAAAAAAAAAAGACTTCCATGGCATTTATAGTTAAGTATAACTAGGTGTTTGTTGTTGTTATTGCTGCTGTTCTACAATCTTGGGGCTTGAACTCAAGGCTAGCGCTCTACCACTTGAGCCACACCGCCACTTCCAGCTTTTTTTGAGTATTTATTAGAAAAAAGAGTCTCATGAACTTTTCTGCCCAGGCTGTAGTTTTGTTTTTTTAATATGAATTTGATAAAAATGCTGTTAAAAGTGATTTTTGTCCTGCATTGCTAATTAGCCAAAGAAGCTAAGCAAAAATTGATCACAATTGTTATAAGAATTAGAATTTAAAATTTTAAACAGCCTTCTCTATAATTGCACAAAGATTGGATTGTTTACCAACAGTGTCTAAAAGCCTCTCTAGTGTCCTGGAAAAATTATTTTGGTAACTGATAGTTTTGTATGTTCCATCATACTATTTTAAAGAAAACATACTGGGAGTGGTGATGCAGCTCAGTGGCAGAGTACTTGCCTAGCATGTATGAAGCTCTGGATTTGAGTCTCCAGGGCCACCAGAATAAAAGGCAACCCAAAATAAAAGAATATGCATTATATTTCTTGGGATAGTATATGGATTGAAGTTTTGGTTTCAAATTGCACTTGTATTTAACACTGATGTTTTTCTTTATAGATATTTGGAGTTCTTGCAACATGGCAGACGTTGACAAGTAAGTGGATGACAGTTTTTTTTTTTTTTCCAGAGATTTGGTTATCACCTTGTATTGTGATATAATTAATATTATATACTTAGAAAGTTTATGGTATTAACCAGTGCTTGGTTCCTACAATTTTGAGAATATATCTAATATAAAATGTTGTATATATGACTACTATATATATTATAAACTACTTGCCAATATACTTGGGAAAGTGGTGGATAAGCATAATAATAAATAGAACACATATAACTTCACAAACTTATTTTTATAATATATATTTCCTCCAAAGATTTCCTACTTACATTATAATGTGTTTTAATTATAAAATATTTATAAAATGTATATGTAGAGTATAAACATAGTACTTTGCCAAAGTACTTACATACAAATGAAAAATAGAATCTTATTAACAAAAGTCTATCATTTTTGTGCCCCTTCTCAATTGAATCCTCTTCCTTTCTAGAGGAGACAGCACTAATGTAACTTTTGTCTAATTCATTTGTTTTTCTTTAGCGTTTTAGTTATCTACAACTTTTTAATCAGTGTTTATTTAATTTGAAGATTTGAGTACCAAACACAAACCCAGCTTTGGAAAGGGGTTCGACTTTGGTCACTATTACTACCACTATTAGTTGAAGGCTCTAATGTAGTACAATAAAAAGCCAGAGACAATCTTGGTGGTCATAGTCTAACTTAAACTATCCCAATAACCTGTTGTAGAAGTTATTGGCAAGGTACAGTGTACCTTGAAACAGGTAAAATATGTGTACATCCTGGAAAATGTGAGTTTAGTCATTCATGTGGTAGGTTTGTTATATGGATGGATGTCTTACAGAATATGATTAGGAAAAATGGGATGAGCTCCATATTACTTTAATTTCACTGTAGCCTAATAACTCATTAAGTAAATGGCAGACAGTTGGTCCTTTTTCAGAGATTGGAAAGGTGGAAACAACACTGGGAACTGAGTGGAGATGATTAGGGTCTCCATTACCTGGTTATAAGCATCAGGGTATGGGATGAGCACACATTTGGGCCAGTGTTCTCTTGTATGGATGCTGTCTTTAGCCTGTGAGTGGCAGCAGACATTTTATATATTATCAAGAAGTGATTTTTCTGAGTTACTGCTCATATGGAGTGCTTAGCCTTAACCTGTAATACTGCCCTCGGTCTGTGTCTTTCTAGAAGTTACTTTTGTTTCTACTCTTTCTGGTTTGTTGTCCCCTTTTTTTTGGCTCATGCCTGGCACTACCACTTGCCACACCTCCACTTTTCTTAAAAGAAATGGTTTTGACATGACTGAAAATGACTACTTTTGCTTGATAGTTTCAGTGTAGAATTCAAGGTATAGGAATCATTTTTGCTCCGTTTTGTGCTCCTTTGTCATCTTGCTTCCCATGTTGCTGTTGAGATTCAAAGTGACAATTTTGGTTCATTTGTGTGTGATAATGTGTATATATAAAAATCTTTTTTTTTTTTCTGGAAGCTGCTCTTTTGTTTTCAGATTTTTCTTTTGGTCGTTTTTATTTTTAAACCTGTGTTAGGCATTTGGTAGTATACCTTTTTCGGGCTGGAAATTCATGAGCTTCATTTCTAAAAATATCCTTGACTGACTTATTTATTTCTGTTTTTCTCTTTCTTTGGCTTCTGTCAGATGTATGTTAGTCTGTTTCCTAATTATCTCTTGTTTTTTCCTACATTTCTCACTGCTCTTTCTGGGCAGAGCTTTAGAAAACTTACTTTTCCACTCTTGAGTTTTTCTTGGTTTAGAGTCCCTTTGGTCTTTGTACCTGTTTTTTTTACATAGCACCCTATTCTGTTAGACTGTGATAGCTTGTCTTTGGATGTTCTTTTCTTTGTATACCGTTTACTCTAAGTTTTCTTTTTATCAATGTTTTATTCTCAGTGGAAGATGCTTTCTTCAAATATGAGGTATTTACTTTTCTCATTAAGGTGGATATGGTTGCACGTGCCTATAATCCCAAAGGACCAGGAACTCAAGGCCAGCCTGTGTGTGAGACTAAGAAAACAAAGAGTAAGGGGATAGGTGGAACTGTTTGGGGAGAGGCAGTTGAGAGACTCTTATTTTAAAACTTGAGGGCTTGGTACAGGGCGCTTGTTAATTTGAGATTTTAGTATAATTCATGAGTAGATATTTTTGGGAATCCCCAATGCCAGAAGAGTAATTTTCTTTTTCTTGGGTTGCTTCCATTCTTCTGTGAATAGGGCTGGGTACAGGTCTGTCTTCCAGTGTTGTAGGAGCCAAGTTAGAAGAGAGCAGCTAGGAACTAGATTCAGTATTCAGTTCTACACATAGCTTATCATGTATCCTAGGCAATCTAAATTGTGTCTGGTCTCTCAGAGTTCTGAGTTTTACTCCTCACAGAAGAAACTGCCATATTTCTGCTAGGATTGAAGAGAAAATTAAGGATTTAACTATTTGTTTTTACTTTTTACATTAGATGTCTATTCTTAACAGCCCTTGCTCTATAAATGTGCTGAAGTATTAAGTACTAGATGGACCCTCACCCCCCCCCCCCCCCTTCAGTACTGGGGTTTAAACTTAGGCATTGTTTATGCTTTATCACTGGCTTTTGCAGTTTGTTTGTTGTTCTTGCTGTCATTCCCCCCTAGGCTGGCATTGAACAGAAAGCCTCCAGATCTTAAGTCTCTTGAGTAGCTAATATGTAGTCATTAGCAATTAGTGCCTTGCCCTACTACTAGTTCTTTCAAAGACAAATTGAGCTGTCTGCAGTTTTTTTTCTATTGCTTCACTAGATTTCGTTTCCCTTGTGAAGTTGATTATCCTTTATCATCTGCTTTCAGATTTTTGCTACTCTTCTGTATTCTTCTGTCTTTATTCATCATGGCTTGTTTTATCACATTCTAGTGGAGATTTTGGAAGGATTAAAATCAGATGAGATGTGCATCCTGCAGTCTTAGTCTGAAAGCACCTATTTAAAACCTTTTACAGAATAAATTGATTATCATAGCTAGATTTTTCCTCCCTAATATTAAATTTTGGCTAAAAGAAAGATTGTTTTTGAAATTGAAAGTCAGAAAACTTTGTGCTAAAAGGGCTTTAGATATGTTGGGCCATGCGGTCTTTTGTAATTACTTAACTACTCATTAAGTATGAAAGTAACCATAAATAGATATACACAAATGAATTAGATACTTGTATACTAGTTAGGATTTTATTTACAAAAATAGCAGTAGGCTGAATTTGGCCATGTGGTATAGCCACCTATTTTTAAAATTGTAAGATGTTTCAGTAAATGATTATGTTGAAGAAAGGGCTGCTTCATATTATCTTTAGCCATGGCTCTTAACTCTCAATATACATTCACTAAATAGACAGCATTTATTGAATCAAAGATAATCTAGAAATAATCTAAATCATTTCTAAAGGCTGAATTTCTTTTCTGGTTGTTAGAAACCTCAATTTTACTAGCCTACTAATTTCTCTATGCTTGTTCTGTACTTGTATTTTTCTGTATGAAAATTAATTTTCAAAAGTCATAAACACAAAAATTAATAAATTTCCAGTCCTAATGTTGAAATATGTGATGAAGCCAAGGTATAGTGCTTCACACCTATAATCTCAGGACTGGGGAGTCCAAGACCGCAGGATTGTGAATTGAAGGCCTGTCCAGGTGGCATAATGTGACAATTGTCAAAAACTTAATTATCCTTATCCTCTATTCTAATGCTAAATATAAGCTCATGTTCAAAGACTATTTTTGGTGATTCTTAAGACAACATGAGAACACTACCTTCTTTTTGCTTTCTTTATTAGTGTTACCATCCTCCTGGCTTTGCTCTCAGCAAGAAGCAGGCTCAGAGGTCTTGGTATTTGTTCTCCATTTTCACTGTGAAGTAGAGAAAGCAAAGTCCAAAGGTAGTTGAGTGAGTGCAGGCAGGTTTGGTTGCAGAGTCATCAGGAATTCAGGATCCTTCTTTCCTAACTTCATCCTTAGTTTGGGTGCTCACATTAACCCTGGTTGGTCTAGGGTAGTTTCTGAAGGTATAGCCATCATATCACTGTTCTAGCTAGAAGGGAAGAAGATCATTAAAAAGGCATCTTTTGTACTATTTTACAAAGATTCTTCAGAGTTCTATGCTACTTCTGCTTTTTAACTCTCATTGCCAAAACACAGCTGCATAGTCAAATCAAGCTGCAAATTTAGGCTAGGCAATGTAGATTTCAACTTTGGTGTTTTGCTTTTCCATGTAAAAATGCCACTGCTACGAAGCAAGAATGGAGTCAATGGATATTAGGTTGAAAACAGATTTCTTGGTCACATTCCCTCAAAACCTACGAAAGCACATTTTTAAAGCTTGAATAACAAATCTTATATTTGGCTAGATCCATTTAAATCAAGAGTTTAGCACTTTAGCTAGTATTTAACCTACCTTTTGAAATTCCTATCATTGAAAGAGGCATATTGATGTAGAAAATGAATTTGTTTTTCTGTAATTTTTTTGTAATGGTACATTTGAACCATGGTGTGGTACTATGATATTGTAGCAAAGAACAGTCTGAACTTGATCAAGATTTGGATGATGTTGAAGAAGTAGAAGAAGAAGAAACTGGTGAAGAAACAAAAATCAAAGGTATTTGTTTTAAATTACTTTAGGAGCCAGTGGTTGCTGGCATGTCTCCTAGAGGAGGATAATGAGTACTATTCTCTTTGAATCATGGTCCTTTGTCCACTGGCCCATACCTTGAGTGTGGTAACCATGTTTATAGCAGAGGGAGGAAGGAAGAGGTGGGATGGACTTCATGGCTCATCAGAAGCCACAGTTTTTACACTCCGCTGCTGAAGTGACATGGCATAGCTGTGTTTAACAGCTGGTTTTTATCTTTGGAGAAGTTCCAGGGGCTGGGACTATTTTTGGAAGTGCTGCTTAACAATATAAGTGTGTATATTTATCTGAAAGCATAGTATGTTGTCTTTATCCCAAGCCCCTAACACTGAATTGTACTTGAAGTTTTCTGATATATGTTGTCTGCTTTCAAATGACTGTCATAAGCTTAGATAGGCATCTGAATGAAGCTTTGAGCTTCCCTAATGCAAGGTGAGGGAAACACAATGTAGTAGGAATAGAAAGGATATAGTTCATAGTAGTGTGACAGTGGTCTTTAGAATGCTGTCATTAGGAATCAACTTTCCAGAACATTGGGTTTTCCTAGAGTATATTTTCTTTAGCTTACTTTGTCCATTTCTACTCATGTAGCAGCAGCATTATATGGGCCAGATAGAAAAACTTCATGAATGGATTTCTTATGAACAACATAGTAAATTTTCATAAATCCTTTTGATGCCCCTTTTTTTTTAAAGCGCGTCAGCTGACTGTTCAGATGATGCAAAATCCTCAGATTCTTGCAGCCCTTCAAGAAAGACTTGATGGTCTGGTAGACACACCAACAGGATACATTGAAAGGTACAAGTTCTCTTTTCCATCTTCCTGTTTATCTTTCTATAATCAACATTGCAGGTGTATTTTTAGAAACCATCTAAAATTATGTATGTAATAGTAGAAACCTAATGTCTGTTAATATCAAGTGTAGGATTATGGGGAATTTAGAATTTTACTTAGTACCGCTTATTTTTAGAGTTCATCTTCTAAAGTTTATTTTAGTTCAAATCTACTTAAAATATATTGATCTTAACCATTCCTAAGATTTATTTAGAAGTTTGTTTGAAATGCATAGAGTATGCAGAAATGTAGATTTCTTACTTCATTTGTGACATAAGTCAGTAACAGCCTGAGTATCTCATTCTGCTTTAACTCAGCTTTTTGAATTCAAGATTCATTCATGTTGACTAGATCTACACATATCTCTACTTGCTCTCTAGGAAACATTGTATGTCCACAGTGTTTTATCTTCTTTTCCTTTGATGAATTCCTGTCTATCTGCACAGATTCCTTTGTGATGGACAGCCTTGTGCATATCATCTTAAGGGAACTGTAAGAATTCTGGAATGTGTACCTTGTGGGATTTTTAATGTAGACTATGCAAGCTTTAAAGTACTTCCACCCTGATTACCTGAAGTGGTGCACTGAGTGTGCCTAAAGGTTGCTTTAGCTTTGTGTCTTTGCTGTTGGTATTATCCACCTTTGTGGGCTTTTCTTTTGTTTTTTTTTTTAAGCAATTTTCTGATTTCTGATGACTTTCAGCTTCTTTTCATAAAACTTGTGACCTTTTTGGTTGCCCATTTGCACCTTTCGTCCATTTTCTTATTGGAGTTAGTGTCTTTCATGTCTTTCAGGATTCCTTATTATTCTAGATGTTATTCTTTTAGCAGCTTTTAGTTTGTGTTGTGTCACTTCTACTGACTTTTTCCATGGACTTACTTGTCCATTAAATCCCTAACATCTTAATAAGTTTATTTCCTAATTGCTTCTGTTTCTGAAATTGTTTGGGAGTCCTTCCTCTTTCTGTCTCCATTTTCCGTTCACTAATAAGTAGTTTTTCTTTTACATTTAAGTCTTTAATCCTTCATTCCATCTTTGTATTTGGTGTAGGTAAACATCTAACTCCTTCCCTATTCCCCTTATTTTTCAGTAGTAATTTTTTATTTAGTAACTATTAGTCCCCCCATTTGTGTACTTCCTTTATTGCATATCAGCAAATAGACACAGCTTTTGTTTCTGAGCAACAATCCTCTGTTTTGTTGGCCTTTTTGTCATTGTAATTTTTATTTACTTGGCTTTGCATCATGTCTTAATATCTGACATGGTAAGTTTTTGTTTTCCCACCTTCAAATATAATCTGTGTTCTTGGTTCATCCTTGTTTTTGTCTATTGTCAGTGTTGTACTTCACTAGTTACTAGTATCATTACTAATTAATATCTGGTATGACAAGATGCTTTCCTTCACACTTTCCCACTCCAAACACTAGTGCAAGGTTGGCCTCCCCGCACCTCACATGTGTTGCATTTAGGTTTACCGTAGTCCTCACAAAAACTTGACTTGCTATCTGATATTTCCTGCTCATTGGCAGCCACCCTAACAACTGAGCCATGCCTCCAATCTCACAAAAACACCAAAACTGAGTTCATAGGTGAACAAAGGATATCTTTTTAGTATTGTCTTATTCATATACATACATCTATTTATACCCAAATTCTGTGTCGTATAGTTTTAGATTTCTTCATACAATATTGGCTATATTCATTCTGTGTATTTTACATGTGGTATTGCTGTATGAATTGTATTCTGTTCATTTTGGTGTCTGTTAATGACATGTGGAAGGAGACTGCTGATTTTTTTTTAAGTTGATCTCCTATGTAGTAACTTTGCTAAAATAATTGAAGTAACATGGTTGTCTCCTCCCACTACCCTACCCCAAAGATCTTGGAATAATGGCAGTTTTAGCACTTATCTTCTATATTATACCATATTGCTGTTTTGTCTATAGCATAGTCTAGGACTTTTAGTACTTTGTTAAACATTAGCATTAAAGACAGGTTATCTTTGACTTATTTATCTTGGGAATGAAATTAAATTGACCTCATTAAATTCACTGCCTTCTTTTATGATTTTGCTTGGGAGATCAAACATAGAATCTTGCCTGATAAAGTCCTTGCCCTTAGGCAAGGACTACAACTCTTCAGTCTCTGTTTTATTTTCCATCTTTTTTTGAACTTTTTTCTTGACAGTTTAATACCTGTTTGGAGACACATTGCCTAAGTGGAATAAATGTAATCACAATACATTGTTACAAAGTTGTATAGTTAATGGTGAATAGACTTTGTGCATAGGTATGCAAGTGTGTTTATATGAATGTGCCTGAAGAATGAGACTAACCCTTAACTAGTATAAATGCCAAGATTTCAACTGCCAATGAAATATACAGCCACTTTTACTTTTTCTTCTGTCTGCATCAGCTTCTAGGAGATAGACTTCTCAAAAATTTACTTGAGAATGTTGAAAGGGGTGACATTGATCAAGACACATTGTATTCATAATGTGCTTTGCTAAATGGTGACTCCTTTGTACAACTTAAAAAATTGAGATGAGATTTTGGGGAGTTTGGGACTACCATTTTTATTCATTTTAAACATTCTAGTTAGTCTATTGAAGTTTCCTCTAAATCTAGAGGTGGTGTTTTTTATTTATTTTGTGCCGGTCCTATGGCTTGAACTCGGACTGGGTGCTATTCCTGAACTTTTGCTCAACAGTAGCATTCTGTAGCTTAAGCCACAGCTCCAAATCTAGTTTTTTGGTGTTTAATTGGGGACTGGCTTCCAGCTTTTTTGGTTAAGTTTAGTTGGAGTTGAGTCTTACAGAGTTTTCTGCCTGGGCTGTCTTTGAACCATGAGTAGCTGTTACTCAGTTGTCATCCACGTCAGCTTTTCTGCATTTTGTTTTTCATGCTGTCTTCCTGGGGAAACTTTTCAACTTCATGGACTGTTTATGTTCCGTTGACTGTTATGTTTTATTGTGTTTGTTGACTATTTTAGTTACCATATCCCCTTACCTTTGTATGTACTATTTCTATGGTTTTAGACTTTTCTTAGTTTTCTTTCATATTGTAATGTTTTTACTTCACTATACATGTATTGCATTCTTGTTTAATGCTAGCTGATAATGCTAGAACCTTTTCATAGAAATTGATTACTCAAATGTCTGGTTACTTTGGTCTTTGAGCTCAGGAATAGTGGGTACTGTCTTATGTGCAAAGTATTTATACACGTTACCAGTACCTACAGACCAATGAGTATTGGGAGGAAATGAAGGTGATACTAGTCTATGACAATTTTTGGAGTTCAAGTAGAAATGCAGTGAATGAGCCTAAGTAGAGCATAAGTGATCTTAGACTCAACATCAGGTGGCAATTCTAGGCTGTTATCTTGAATTACTTTGGGAGAGTCAGTCACTCTTGGTTGTTTAATTCACTATATCGATATTGAAGTAGTGACCTAGTTGCACTTTCATTGATTCTTCATGTTATCCTAGGAACCCTGGCATTGGACTCCTATAAAGGATGAGGGGGGGGTGGGGTGGATGATAGTTGATTGGTTCAAAGGAAGAGAACTTTAAAGGAAAGCTTTTAAAGTCCTGTAATCTGTTTCCCCTGTTGTTAACTAACTCTAGCCATTCTTGCTCAGGATTCAGCTCACTTTATACCAGTTACAGACAGTTTTGCTTAGGAGAGATAGAGGGCTATGTTTTTGAGTGCATATATGTGTATGTATACATGTACCAGTAATTTTCCTTCTTGGTTCTAAAGTTTAGTGTTTTTGGAGTGAGAGAAAAAGCCAGGATCAGGTTAGTTTACCTCTTTGATAGAAAGAATATTGTTTTAAACTTTCAATTATAAGAAGATCTCTGGATGTTTTTGTTTATTAATACTTTTAACTGCTTTCAGGTAGTTCCATAAGAATTAATTGGTTTGAAAAACTGTTTGCCACATGGGAATAAATCTTTTTTAAGCAAACAGATTATTTTTAAAATTTGCTAAAGTTAAAAATATATTTTGCTTAAAAATTGTAAAATTTACCTAATTGCTTCAAATTGTTTTGAGAGTGACCTCTCTTTGGGGGAGGGTCTAATAAAACTATTAAATATATTACTTTTAAAATAAACATTGCTGGGTCCTGGTGGCTCATACCTGTAATCCTACCTTCTCAGGAGGCTGAGATCTAAGGATCACTGTTCAGAGCCAGCCTGGGCAGAAAAATCCCCAAGAGACGTTTATCTCTATTCAATCACTCAAAAACTGGAAGTGGCCTTGTGGCTGGAGGTGGTAGAGAGCTAGCCTTGAGCAAAAGACCTTAGGAACAGCTCAGGCCCTGAGTTTAAGCCCTGCAACCGAAAATGTTTCCCTTCTGGATGTTTTCCTTTTACACTAAGTGATATAAAGTATATGTCAAAAAAATAAAAATTATTACTGTTTTAAACTTCATAAACTTATGATTGCATTTTATACTTGCAAGGTCAGCAACGCTAGACATTTAAATAGCTTTGACAATTAGAGAGCTTAGGGTTTGACAGTATGATTTCTATTTTCTTATCCAGTATATATCTATCTGTTACTTTTAATACACATTTGTACCAGATAGTGAACTTACTTCAGTTTCATTGTGGAAAAAGAACTGTTTTGTTTTACTGTGCTGCTAGTAACTATCTTCTGACCTTTCAGCTTGCCTAGGGTAGTTAAAAGACGAGTGAATGCTCTTAAAAACCTTCAAGTTAAATGTGCACAGATAGAAGCCAAGTTCTATGAGGAAGTTCATGACCTTGAAAGGAAATATGCTGTTCTCTATCAACCTCTGTTTGATAAGGTAATACTTCTAATTTACCTAAAATTCTATAGGACAAACTCAGTATAAATGAACTTTTAGGAGGTTTCATCCTTAAAACTCTGAAGTAGAAAATAGAGAAACTTGGAAAAATGTCAATAGTTAACATTTTGGTATTCATTGGTTAAATATATGAGGATCCTGATTATGAAAGCTTGAATGCCAGTGTTTTCATGCAAGGTTTTTTTCCCCCCCTTAAAATTACTTTAGCGATTTGAGATCATTAATGCAATTTATGAGCCCACGGAAGAAGAATGTGAATGGAAACCTGATGAGGAAGAAGAAATTTCGGTTAGTATGAACTTCATGCGTTTTTAGATGAAAAAACTTGAGCAATTCTCAGAGTATTCACAGTTGTTGATAGGTTACACAGTGCAATATAATAGCTGGAAATCAGCTGTGATGTTAGTGGGGTTTTTTGTTGTTATTGTTGGTGGTGGTGTAGGGCTTGAACTCTGGGACTCGGCCCTGTCCCTGAGTTCTTTAGCTCAAGATGAACACTCTACCACTTGATCCACAGGGCCACTTCTGGTTTTCTGGTGGTTAATTGGAGATGAGTCTCAGGGACTTTCCTGCCTGGGCTGGTTTTGAACTGTGATCCTCAGATCTAAGCCTCCTGAGTAGGTAGGATTACAGGCATGAGCCATGGACGCCCTGCTCAATACGGTAGTTTTATTAACACAAAGATGAGAGAAGGACATAGGGGTTTATTGCTTTTCTGTTACTATGCCTGTCTTTAAAAGAAAAACAAAAACAAAAAAAACTGTTAATGAAGTATTTTTTTCCCTTCCTCTTCCTAAAATGTTTTTTTTTTCTATAATCCTCCCTATTGTGGAGGGGTGTGATTGTTACAGTAAGTTTTGATGGGTTTAAGATTTGGAGCAGATAACAGTAGTCTTTATACAATTAGGCTGAAATTTAATTTTTAAGCAGTAATGAGGACTGAAGCAAAGACCTGTTGCATTTTTTGGCTGGTGCTGTACTTCCTGATTTACTTTCTAGTCCTTTTTACTGTTAGTATGTTTTTCCAATTTGAGTTTCACACCTTTTCATAACAAGCCTCAGGCCATGAAATTCCTAGGTCCACCTCTGGAGTTGTAGGTGATATTATAAGCATGTAGTACCACAACTGGTGGATTTGTTTTGTTCTATAAACTTAGGCCATTGACTGTGTTTTAAGGGCATGTATAAAGGTTTATTAATAGATGTAATATAGGTATTCAGTAATATATGCTGTTGCTTATCAAGGAGGATCTGAAAGAAAAGGCCAAGATTGAAGAAGAGAAAAAGGATGAAGAAAAAGAAGACCCTAAAGGAATTCCTGAATTTTGGCTGACTGTTTTTAAGAATGTTGATTTGCTCAGTGACATGGTTCAGGTACTTTTACTCTTAAAAACCCTGTTTCAGCTGAAAGGGTAAAATCTTAAGATAACTAGTTTGTTCAGTTTTGATTCCTAAGAAACTACTGCTTTTATTTTTGAAGTTGCAGTCTCTTTCTGTTGAAGGAAAATTACAGTTTGATTAAGAATTTAAAGCAATAACTAGATAATGAAATAGCCTTATTGATAATTAATCACTGTTGTATTTTCATGTTTATGTGCTTAGTTTTGAGACAGGATAGAAAAATTATAGTTTCATTTGTGCTATATCTCAGAATACTTTTCAGTCAGAAATTAGTCTGAACTAATCCAGGGGAAATTAGCATTTAAAAGAATACGATAAAGATGTTTACTCATTCACTATAGTTTGATCTCTGGAAAACCAACACAGATGTCACTTCCTTTGGGAAACTTAGCATCAAGCACTTTTTTTTTTTTTTTTTGCCAGTCCTGGGGTTTGAACTCAGAACCTGGGTGCTCTCCCTGAGCTGCTTTTGCTCAAGGCTAGCATTCTATCTACTACTTGAGCCACAGTGCCACTTCCAGCATTTTCTGTGTATGTGGTGTTGAGGAATCAAACCCAGGGCCTCATGCATGTAAGGCAAGCACGCTCCCACTTAGCCACCTTCCCAGCCCTATTTCTTGATCCTTTAGCATCTATCTGTGTTAATAGTAGTTACTACCCTGCCTTGTGATTTTTGGAAGAAAAATTTTTGAAAGAAAAAAATCTCAAGCCGGGTGCCAGTGGCTCACGTCTGGAATCCTAGCTACTCAGGAGGCTGAGATCTGAGGATCTCGGTTCAAAGCCAGCTCAGGCAGGAAAGACCGTGAGACTCCTATCTCCAATAAACCACTAGAAAACCAGAAGTGGAGCTGTGGCTCAAGTGGTAGAGTGCTTTGCCTTGAGCTGAAGAGCTGAGGGACAAGGGCCCAGGCCCAGAGTTCAAGCCCCACGACCAACAAAAAAAAAAAAAGAGAGAGAAAAAGAAATCTCAATTTCTATTTTAGCAAAATAGAAAATGAGCAAGAATTTAAAAGACTATAATTAAAAGTAGGAAATGTTTTTAAATCACATGCTTTTTTACTTGATTTTGTATTTTACACAGTACTAGCTTGTAATGATTTAGTTGTTTCTAGTCACTTTTTCTCTACTGGTGGCAATAGAAACTATAATGTGAAATAGCTTCTTAAGATTCATAGTTGTTAAATATAATTGTGAAGATATGTGTTAGTCATCTAGTATTTGTAGTGACAGTGCTGACTCTAAAATGGCATGTTTTAACTTTTTTTTTTTAACTTGAAGGAACATGATGAGCCTATTCTCAAGCACTTGAAAGATATCAAAGTGAAATTCTCAGATGCTGGCCAGCCTATGGTAAAAGAACTTTATGAGATATTTCAACATTTATCATGTATACTTTTGTATTAGATGAATGAAAACAATGAAAATAGATGACATTCAAAGATTAAGGATGGAAGTAAGAAGGAAGTATACATAGTACTTAGTACTATAGGTAACATTTGGATGTTGCTACTTGGGATGCTGTAATTTGTTCCTTTTGTTTGTGAACTTGACCTATTTTTTAATCATAATTGTTGATCAGACTAATGTGGACAAAAGTTAGTGGCAAGCCAGGTGCTAATGGTTCACACATGCTTATAATCCTAGCTACTCAGTAGGCTAATGTCTGAGGATAATTGTTTGAGGTCAGCTCAGGCAGGAAAGTGAGCCTTATCCCCAGTTAAGCATCAAAAAACCAGAAGTGGAGCTGTGGCTCAAGTTGCAGTGCTAGCCTTGAGCAAAATAGCTCAGTGATGGGGCTCAGGCCCTGAGTTCAAGCCTCAGGACTGGGTAAGGACTCATAAATAAGTAGATATAAAACTATTAAGTCATTCCTGGAAATTACAGAATGCAGATGTTAGAGGATCCTCCTCCTCGCCTGTGAGGAGAGATCAGCTTCTTAAGTCATCGATAACCAAGATATTCTAAATATAGACTGTCAATTCTTATGTTGTCCTTTTTGTGTCAAGTTCACATTGTAGTCTCATTTAAAAATTATCTTTGTAGGGAAAGGTGGATGTAGTTAGTTTTATGTAGGCATATTTTACCTAAATGAGTATTGTAAACTGAAAATACATACCTTGTTTTTCTTTTTAATGTAATTTGGAGAAGAAAAACAGAATTTTATAAAAGCCATAATGAAACTGTTTACCAGTATCTGAAATGCATTTAACTTGTATGCTTTTTTCTTTTTTTTAGAGTTTTATCTTAGAATTTCACTTTGAACCCAATGAATATTTCACAAATGAAGTACTGACAAAGACATACAGGATGAGATCAGAACCAGATGATTCTGATCCCTTTTCTTTTGATGGACCAGAAATTATGGGTTGTACAGGGTGAGTTACTTGTACTACTTTAACAGTGTTACATGTTTTTGATATACTGTTGGCTTATAATACTTGATAATTTACATTGTCAATCCTTGATACATACATATGTACGTCATTCATTGTTAAGCATTTTAGTGAATTGAAATATTGTCAGTAAAATGTTTTCAGGCATTTTCCTAAAATTTTCTTTGGGCCAATGTGTGTAACATACTTTTCTGCAAAGGAGTGAACTATGTTTGTTGATTAAAAACATTTGTTTTAAAATTTTGTTAGAAATAAAAATTTCCTATTAGTACTGTTAAAGAAAGCAGTGAATCAGTTATCCACTCTTAATTTGAAATATGACTGAAGAAAAGTAGAGCAATTAAGTGTACTAAATTATAATGAAAAGAGATTTTTCTCTTGGTTTTGCAAGGTGCCAGATAGATTGGAAAAAAGGAAAGAATGTCACTTTGAAAACCATTAAGAAGAAGCAGAAACACAAGGGACGTGGAACAGTTCGTACTGTGACTAAAACGGTTTCCAATGATTCTTTCTTTAATTTTTTTGCCCCTCCTGAAGGTTAGTAGTGTTTGGGTGTTAATAGTTTCAATATAAATTTCATTGAATTCTTTTGTTCATTTGTATTTCTTTATTTTGCAGTTCCTGAGAGTGGAGATTTGGTAAGTTGAATTGTTATTTATTGGGGTTAATTTAGATGGAATTACATTTATTCCTTAAGTGGAATATGAGATAGTTGTTGTTAGTATTCTTCAGTCTTTGTTTTGTTTTAATGTCTCCATGCTGAAAATTGAACTGACAGCCTCATAAATACTAGGAAAGTGTTCTACCACTAAGTTACAATTCCCTACTCTCAGTTAGTTGTCTTATAGGCTTGTAATGACAGGACACACAATTTCAGATTTGAAAAATTGTTCCTTTAAAGTGCTGCTGGTTCCTTCCCCAAGAAACACTGAGATGATCAGCTAAACATTCTTTTGACTTAGAAGTATTTTTGTGAGGAATTTAGTTTTTCAAAAATAATATTTCCTTCTTTGAAAGCAAGAATGTATTGTCATTTACCATTTATTAAACTCTTAGAGAACCACATTATGGTTAGAATGTGTGTTCTGATAGAAACAGGGTTTCATATTGTGGCTATATATCTTTATGTATATGGTGTCCAACCAAGAAGTGGAAATGTTTCTGCCATGTATCATGCAACCATTACCTTTATATGTTACTGTTTAAATTAGAAAAAACTGATTGGTAGTCAGTTCTTATTTTCATTTACTACCAGTTTTCCTCAGTATGTACCCTGGCCTGATAATCATCTAGATGGCTCTTTGTTCTACATGCATATAAGCTAATTTGTAAATGGCAGAGTAAAAAAAGTAAATCTGAAAGTTTATCATGTCATAATTGTATAGTTATTTTATATGCCAAATTTTAATTTTATTTTTATTTTCCTTAAAAAATAGGATGATGATGCTGAAGCTATTCTTGCTGCAGACTTTGAAATTGGTCACTTTTTACGTGAGCGTATAATCCCAAGATCAGTGTTATACTTTACTGGTGAAGCTATTGAAGATGATGATGATGATGTGAGTAAATGTGAATCCTGGAGATAATTTGGTGAGAGCATAATAGTCAAAATTAATTGGTAAGAAGTTAGGCTTACTAAAAATAAGCTGTAAAATAATTCAAGGTTAGTCTGATTGCAGTAATTTTATGGATATCTTTTTTGAATATTACATAAATTTTGTTAGGCTATTTGATTTTATCTTAGTTTTCATTTTTCTGTTAATAGGAAGATTAGTCTCAACTAGAGAAGCTCACATAATAGTGGAAGTAAAATTAGGCTGCCCTTAAATATTTTGTATAGTAGGCTTCAGAACTTTTTGTATAATACATTCAGAGAAAAGATTAAATGAGTAGTATTATATAAAGAACTTTTATAAGTAATCAGGTTATAGACAGCGCTGAGCTAGTGATTTCCTACTGCTAGTGTGTGTTTATATTGCCACTATAGGGGCAAAGTTTTTTTCCCCCACTTTTAGGATTTAGTGTTGAAAATGAGTATAACACTATTCTTGTATTATTCACTGACACCATTTTCTCTTTGCAGTATGATGAAGAAGGTGAAGAAGCGGATGAGGTAATGTTTACCAAATGAACAAATATTTCTCTGTATAAAACATTCAGAAGCAAACGTGACTTATGTATTCCTTTACTATAATCATTATTCTGTGATTTGGGATAAATTTTGGAAAATATGAATTTAGAATTCTACAGCCAAACAATGTATGTATAAGGTTTCAATAAATAAATTGCAAAACTCAGCAACATTTTTTTTTTATTTCAAATAATTTTGTTCTGCTGCAGGGTTATCAGCTCTTTGAAGAAGTCAAAAGCTGCAGTAAACTTTTTCAACGTTGGCTGCAGTAAATCTTTTCAATAAAAGCTGTCTGGATGTGTCTCGAGTTGTGTTGGGATATTTTTCATATTAGAAGCTTTCAAATTAAATTGTATTATCACCAAACTGTAATCATGAAAAATCTCTTGACCCATAGAATAACTTGTATTAAATTTTCCCTACACTATGAGCCAATTTTTTCTGCTGTATACCTACTTCATGGATGCATTTTGAACTTTAATATAGGAAGGGGAAGAAGAAGGAGATGAGGAAAATGATCCAGACTATGACCCGAAGGTGAGCAAAATTAGTGTTATTTACTATTTAAAGTAAAAATAGAAGGCCCGCCCGTCCTTCAGTTATAGTCAAGTCAGTAGGAAGTGCACAATGAATGCCTGTTTAGCTGGGTCCCTCTTCCCAACGCATCATTTTCTCAAATACACAGTTAAGTGCATCTTCTCTGAGAAATGTTTTGGGATTTTTATATTTCTTGTAGTTTTCCGCAAGGTCAACCTAACACTATTTCAATGGTATATTATTTTGGATGTTGCAGTTTTTAAACTCCAGAGGAATGTATATAAAAAAAAGGCCCCCTGGTATTAAGAAGTCTGATTTGCAGAAGTGTTTGGAGACTCTGGGGGAACAATACTGTTGTTATATTTTTCCAACTACCACAATTCTTTAGTCTTGGGGTCTGTAAAAGCTCAGGATTTTAATTTGTTGTAAAGGCGTTTGTCTTTAAAATACATTAATAAATAAAAAATAACCAGTATTCATATGAAATGAGTTTCCCTTTTAGTTTCTTCATTTTCTTAGTACTGAAAAATACCCAGAAGGTACACTAACCTGTGAGCGAGGAAATAGGGTAATTTAAAATCCTGTTTTGGTAGGTATAAATTAGTCTTACAGTTAAATGTAAATTTAGATAATGAGATGCCCTACCTCCATTGCATACACTTTAAAAAATTTATTTTTATTAGTATATAATGTACAAATGGGTTTCATTGTAGCTTTCATACATCCATATAATGTATTTTGATAGCACTCAATTCCTATTTATGATTATGGTTTATTGTGTTTCATTTTATGGAATTTTGCAATATGAAAATTGGACATTTTAGCATTTTAGTGACTTTATATAGTTGAATAAAAAATTTGACACTGACCTGAGCCAGTATTTAACAGAAATACAACAAAAATGAAATACTGTGATAATTCTGGTACTTATTTACTATTAAAAAAAAAACAAAACATTGAAACAGGTAGAAGATAGATTGACTTCTTGTTTTCCTTTAACAGAAGGATCAAAATCCAGCAGAGTGCAAGCAACAGTGAAGCAGGATGTTTGTGGCCTTGAGGATAACCTGCACTGTAATAGCCTAAACACAACTATTATTTACTTCTAGCCTTATGTTTTTGTATTTTCTTGGTAGACTCTTAAATTCTTTTTAAAGGAAAGAAATTGACATTTTAAAAGACAAATTTGTTCTAGCATTTTAAATAATTTTCTGTCCCATCTGTTGAATGCACGGATCTTCTCATGCATGTCCATTTGTTGATGCAGTTTGGTTCTTTGGGAATATTTTCATCATGTAGCTATTGGATTACAACCATGAAAATTAACAACAGTTAAACATTTTTTTTTTGTTTGTTTGGCTATTTTCTTTTCCTAAAGAACCAAGGTAGTGTTTCACCTGGTAGTACAATGAGTTTTAAGTTCGCTTGCATTAATTGTGCTTTTTATTATATTGTTACAGAAATGCAGTGACTTAATACTACTAAAACAATATCATTAAACCTTGTGGTTAAGAATTTCCAGTAATAAGACCAAACCCAATAATTGTTAGATTATTCATGGATTTTTATATATTAGATAATAGAGTTTAATTATAAGAATTCTGACTCATAATATATATGGCTATTGGTTACCACAGGGAGGTGAATAAGACCTAGAAACTTTAGTCACTAATACTATTAAAGAGTACTTTTAAATTTTGCTTCCATTAACTAAGCATTTTTTTCTTTGTGGTAGGGTCTACCTTCTGCTTTCCTGGAAAGGATGAATTTACATCATTTGACAAGCCTATTTGAAGTTTTTTTTGTTGTTTGTTTGCTTATTTTTGTTTTTTCAGCCTAAAATAAAAATGTCATACAATTTTAGTTCTAACAGGATAGTGTCTTAATTTTGTACTAATTCATGTGAGGAACAGAGGCTTAGCTTAAATGAGGATTCTTAGTTTGGTAAGAAAGGATATGAACTTTTGGAAGAGGTGTTAAGGTAGTGTTAAGAAAGAAAGTCATAAGTCATGTGTTAGGTTTTTTAAAAGGAAATAAATTTGTTTCATTTCCTTTGGTTTAGAACTAAAGAGAAAACCAAAATCCTCAGCCTCTGGTTTATTCTAATTCTTAGTGCGTCAGTATGAGTGTCATTTACCAATGCTTTTGTTTACTATGTATTAAAATGGGTAGTACTGTTTCCTTAACTACCTCACAGATGTGTTAAAGCATATTAAGTTAAATCTTATGAGTTATTTCTGAATCTCATTAAAAGCTCAAAAATTTGGGCCTCATCTTACCACAAGTATGATAGTGAGCATTTTACTAGGCTTTGATAATTAAACTGGAAAGTGAAGCTTACCTGTTGTGGATCAGGCCGGAAAGCACTCCTTTACATGTTCATGTGGCTCTTAGGTTAATAAAAATGGATGGAATGGGCCAATTATTTCAAAAGATCCAAGGATTTTTTTCCTAGGTATTTTGGATGACCGTAATATAGTAAATACTGAAGAGATCATGTGAATAAAGAGTTTAATAAGGCCATTTTCCAAAATGGTTTGGTGCCATTAAGTCTGATTTACAGAGCCACATTTAAAATACCTCAGGCTAATTACTGTTAATTTTGGGAGGTGAACTTTTTTCTTTCCCTTTTTTTTTTTTGACAACACAGTAGAATTGCAGTGCAATTAGAAGAAGATTCTTTTGAGAAATGTCATATTAAGATCTTAGAATGTAAACACATTTGTATAGTACTATCCATAACTGTTCCTCAGATTTTTAACTACTGGAAATCCTTAACCAATTACAATAGGTTTTTTTTTCTTCTCTTTATTTTCAAAATGATTTGATTGCTTTTATTAGACATTCTTTGCTGATATTTTTTGTAATTATAGTTCATCTAAACAAGCTTTTTTCTGAACATTAAAATTTGTAATCTGAAGATAGAATCCCATTTTTAATGAACTTACAGAAGTAGCAAAATCATTACTTTTCATTCCTTTAGGAAATAGCTATTGCCAAAGTGAAGAGGTAGATTATATTTCATGTTGTTATATAATGGGGATGCGTTTGGCAGAGGAATTGTTTTCTTTATAAAGTTTCAAGGGATGTCAGTGTTCATTTATGCCATTTCTTCAGTTCCAAAATGGTTCTATTCCATACTAGAAATTTGAAATATGTAATCTGAAATCCTTAATAAAACTTGGATTTAATTTTATAAAATATACTGGTGACATTTGAATTTTTTTAAATATGAATGTTTTTTGAAGATTGGAAAATAGATGTTTAGGTATTTTGTGTTTATACCACTAATGACCAGTAAATCTGAATAACTTAAGAGCAATCTCCCTGCTAATTGGAGTTGGTTATTTGAAGAATATAAAACCATTCCATAGTTTGTAGACAGATTTTAGTCTTATTTTTCTACAAACATTTGAGTCTTTACAGTCTCAATTATCAGTTTCCACTAATTCACTATCAAAGTTACTATTTCTTTTTCCTTATTTAAGAGATGGTAAAATCCCATATAGAGATAAAGACTTCGAAGCAAATTTTAAGACCCATTTTGTCATCTTTCAAATATGGTGAGCAGAGAATAGCAGTTCCATACATTGATTGATTAGTTGTGTCTGTTAGTTAAGCTATAATACTTGAATGGAGTCCACTGAAGCAGTACTAGTATTACTTATACCAGATGTGAAAATATTGAACTTGGTGTTGGTACTTAAGAAAAATGGGATTCTACCTCTTTCTTTTTGAGCTTATTTAACAACAAACATGAAACTGAGACAATAGATTTGATTTAAGATTTTTTCCTTATTCTATGACTAGGTTAATAGAATAACCTGTTAGTGTATGAGAGGCCCTTGAAATAACAGAATTAACAGTGTTTTTCACTGCTATTTTTAAGACAGTATGGGTTTGGGTTTATCTGGATTGTAGGCTATATTCCCCTATTAAAATGATGAAGGCTTGAAAAACTTACTCTAAAAAATTATATGCAGCAGAAGTAATAAGCCTAATAATCAAATATTCTTTGAGTGCTGTGATTTCATGACTTGGTTTAAGTCCATCTTTTTGTGTTTTAATTGTATTTTTTTTAAAAAAAAAAAACCTTTATATTTTTGATTATTTAAGCCGACCAAATACTATTTTAGATGTGCCAGGGCAGTTTAAAAAGAAGCCTGATTTTCTTTGTGGGGACTTTAGAAAAAGGGTCATATATACATATAGTGCTGATTCTGTTTTTTAAAACATTTGCACCGTATATGTACATACTCAGTAATTATGAGCCCTGTTTTGACTTGAAAATAAGTTCATAATATAGATAGCTTGTCATTTAAAGCAGTCATCTGAAAATTAAATGTACCCGACAATGGTTGAGATAATGCTGAAATTAGTATATTAGATGTATATTGGTGATTTTGTATACTGGTTTAAAAATCCAGACATTAAAATGTAACTTGTATAAAATGCCAAGTTCTTGGGTTCACTCACCATTGACATGGCTTTATAGAAATAGAAACATCCTTGGTGGTATGTGAAATTGTTTTCATTGAGAAGTATGTCTGAGAAACTTTGTATTTAGTTGATTTCCTTTCGAAATGGTAGTTTACTGTGTTTATTCCGTTTGACATTCTAGTATACTTGCAGCTTTTTTCAGCTGTAAAACTAAAATTGAATAAAAATCTTAAGTGTAAAAGCAGAATTGAGACATAATTTAGAAATAGATTGCTGGTAGGAAATTTTCATATTGAAAATTGAGCATTTCCAGTTTTTGTAGATATTTTAATTGGTTTGAATATTTTGAAACTCAGGGCAAATTTTGTATTAAGATGAAAGTAGTGGTGGTTAATTTGTCATATTTAAGGGAAAATAGGAATTAGTGAGCAAAGTGCCAAAACTTGATTAGAGCTTTTAACAGGCATTTCAAGGATGAATAAGATTTATGAAGTGCATTAGCTTGGGAAACACAGACAGGATGACTGACAAGCTCAGTCATTGTAGGGAATGAAGTAGGCCTTCCTAAGAAACCAAAAAATAACATGGAGGTAGGTGCCTTGAGGTGATGAACAAGATTAGATCTGAGAGCTGTTAAGAGGAAAAGAGGAATTACTTAATCAAGAATAGTAAAGGTGTTTGGATTCTTTTTTTTTTTTTGGTGGGGCTTGAACTCCCGGGCCTGGGCACTGTCCCTCAGCTCTTCAGCTTAAGATGAGTGCTCTACCATTTAAACCACAGTGCTTAACCCTGATCCTCAGATCTTAGCCTCCTGAGTAGCTAGGATTACAGGTGTGAACCACAGGCTCCTGTCTTGGATTCCACTTTAGCTGCAGTTTATCCCCTTAGTCCAAGTGTAGGTTTATATATTTGGATATCTTTTGTTAATGATGCAATCTTAGCTCCAATTCTGCAGTTATACACACAGTAATGGATATCACCTTCATAATCATAAAAAAAACTAAGTAATAATTGAAAACGTGGATTTTGAAAGTGATAGGAAAGTTTATTAGGGAAGAAATACTCTAAATACATTGAAAGTAGGTTATCTTTAGGGTTGTTACCCCAAACCTGGCCCACATTTTTATTGAAGTTCAACCAGCTTGGACCAAAAGTCCCTCTCTAGAACCAGCCAATGATACAGTCACTGTCCCAAGGTTTAATGAATTAGTTTGACCTCTAGGGCATGGTTTATTGGCCCTGGTAGGTAAATTAAAGCTAGATTGTTTCAGCAAGCTTGAGTTAACCAACCAACTTTTTGCTGATAGGATGTCTTTTTGTTGGTGAAATGATGTCATTTTATGGGTAGAATACTTAATCCATCTTGTGCCTACTATTCTATGACTGACCTTAGTGGGCTACATGGGTTGGCCCATTGTGACTTTGTTTGGTTTTGTGTGGTACCCTGGACCTGAACTATTTTGCTCAAGGCTAGTGCTCTACCATTTAAGCTGTACCTACACTACCAGCAATTGGTGGTGATTAGTTGGAATTAAGTGTTTCAGGGACTTCACTGGGCAAGCTGTCATTGAACTATAATTCTCAGATCTCAACCTCCTCAATAGTTAAGGATTATAGGTGTGAGTCCCTGGCAGCTAGCTCATTGTCACTTAAGTAATTTCATCCTCTGTTTTAATTTTTCCCTGCACTTAATGGCACTCGTGTTATTCAGTCTTTCCCATCTCCAAGGACTCAATATATTGAGGGAACGGGATATCAGTCAAGTCTGGTTATTTCTTATTAGTATGGAGTACAGGCATATGTCAGGAGTCTCTTACCCTAGTGCTGTTTGGACAGCTAGAATCCCAGGTTATAGATGATCCAGTACATTCTTTGGAGAGCATAACCTGTGGTCACAGTATTAAAGGAGGAATAGCCACCACAGAAATGGTAATAGGTTGGAACCAAGAGGTGTGGCAGAGCAATGCCCCCCCCCCCCCCCCCCCACACAGAGCGATAGTAAAACATTTGATTTTGATTTCTTTCATTATGGAATTCTGCTTCCTAAGCAACCAAAAGCTTGACAAGATCAATTGCGCACAAGCATTTATTTTTATGTAGAACAATTACAGTGGACTTAAGAACCTATTAAACCTATATCCTTTAAAGCCTGTTTTTAAATGTTACTAAGAGCAGAATGATTTCTTTTGAGTGATACCTTTTAAGACAGAATTAGGAGTTAAACATCAGTATATTAAATGTTGACCTTAGAATTTTAAACTGTAGCCAGTCACAAAAATTTCATATGCTTTATCTTTTATACACATGTCCTTCACAAGATTGTGTGATCATTCTTGTTTTTAATCCTAGCCTATTTTTCTGTATTGGACAAAACTACTGTACAGAATGCTTTTTCATCCAAAAATACCTGAGTAAAATCTTCC